TCTATATAAACTTATTGAAAATTACATCTTTAATAATGCATTCACTTAATGTTTTAGGTTAAAATAATTACAAATTTTAGGAAGGATATGCTATACCTCCATGCAACCAAAGTATCAGAATAAAAATTAACAAAATTAAATAATTTCAGTGTCTCCAAAACAATCCTTTTTTGGCCATGTTAGTTTTTTATTGATTTTTTTCAGCTCTGATACAGAATCTATTGTTAACAAAATTAAATAATTTCAGTGTCCCCAAAACAATCCTTTTTTGGCCATGTTAGTTTTTTATTGATTTTTTTCAGCTCTGATACAGAATCTATTGTCATCCAGACATGGCTATAGTTAGACTAAAAACAGTTAATATCTCATAATATTTTTCATTAATTATATGTATGCACATATATGCATATATATTTGAATAAAGATAAAATAGGAAAGTACCTATTCATTAATGATAGCGTAAACACTAGTTACTATGAATATATGCAGTCTCCAAATTAATGAGCAGCTAAGAAGTAAAAGACATGAAAACAACCCCACAGAGAAATAATACATGAAAACTTTTCTTAACCACATTTTAAAGTTTTCAGATTTCAACAACCAAACATAAAAATACTAAAATAAATTTAATAAAATCTACAACACAAACCTTTTAAAATTATTAGAGAATATAATCAGTAGAATTTCCAAAAATATTTCTAAAAACTTCCATTCTTGTATGGTTTCTTAGGAACCATTTTTGCAAAGCGCTATTATTACATGTTTCCACAGTGGGATGTTTGGAGCCATCAGCTACTTTGTTCACTGAGAGACAAGACTGGGTGATTATATGAAGAAAAGTGTGGGTCTGTTTGACAAAGAAAATAATGAATAATGACAAAATCAAGTATAAAAGCAGTAATAAATCAATCATCCTGGGCAACGTACAATTTCTACTGGATAAGGATGGGAGGCACATGTCACAATACTTGCATCCATGGAGCTGTGAGCCACCTCCTTTATGGCTTTAATATCAACTGTATTCAGCAGGAGTAAATGAAGATAAGACTGAGAATATGGAGAGGGTCTTGAGATTAAATGATGAAACATTTTGGGCAAAAGATTATTTTAGATATAAATGATTATCTTCTCAGTATTTACCCTAGTAATAAAATGCTTTTTGGTACCGAATGAGTTATTTTGTGAGTGGATATTCAACATAGTTGGCTAGTCCAATTAGGGTCGTTGGCCTTCTCATTCCTTTGCCCTAAACTTGAGTGAACACCAGGGAAGAATCTGGAGGATAATTTAGCTTTCATGCTTTGCTTTACTCTGTACAGTATGGTACCCAAATTGTTTCCACTTACGGTTTCATATGTCTAACCTGGTAGTTAATGAAGGAAGGGAAAAAGAAAAAGATCAAATCTATTTGGGCTCTTAACTTGTTCTAATTCTCCTGACACAATTTTAATTCATTCATTCATTCATTTGTCTGTTTCTTTGCATTAATTTACCACACAGAAGCAGAAGCTCCAGAAAGGCCACAGACCATGGATACCTGTATCATGAAGCCCAGTGCCTGCCCAGGAAGACACTAAATAAGATTGTTAATTGAAGCATTTAGTGAAAGGCCAGTGCAGAAAATAAATTCTGTTTAAATTAAACTGTATCTCTTGGACAGCTTAATGGACACAAATCATTGGATTTACCTTTCCAAGGATTTATCTTCCATAGTAAAATGGTAGATAAGTAACTTGTAAAGATAGGAAAGGTAACATTCTAATATATCATGTCTTTTATCCATAAAATTATACTGTTAACTATATATAGTTCGATTTGTTAAGAAGACTAGTTCTTTTTTTTTAACCAAACCTGAATTTCCTACCCCTCCCATTCATTTCATCCATTTAAAATCTCTAGCCTAGATCATTGTCTGCCCTCAGTGATTTTTCTTCTTGCACTAAACTTTTTTGGTAAGTGTCATGTTTATATCAAAGATATCAGTGTTAGTGATTGTGAATTTCATTTGTCATTAAAAATAAAAATGAATTATAAGGTTTTTCATGATATAAAACAAAAACAAAAATAATTTTGCTTATACTCTGGAAATGTAGCCCCAGAGCATGAATACAATATAAACAATTTTCATAAAAAACACAACTGTAATATTTTCCTCAAGACTGTTTATCACATGAATGACCATGAAAAAAAATTCAAAGGACTTTCATTCCAGGCACTTCTAAAAGCCAAAAAACAGAAGAGAAATTAGAAATCTCAACTCTATTGA